CAATTCGCTGCATCATGACTATGAATGTTTACCGGAAACCTTTACCGGGTGTTCAACAGTTTTTTAATCATTATCATATATATGGAGGTACCCATAGTTTGCAAGTAATTAATGATTGCAAATAAGAGGTTTCTAACAAATCTCTCTCTCTCTCTCTCTCTCTCTCTCGTTTTTTCAAACGACAAAGAAAAAAAAATATAACAATGAATTCATATTTCTCGATCAATTTTATTCTACCTAATTTTATATTCAGAACTTAGAATTTAATTCACAGGATGTCAGATGTCTAATCTCCGAAAGAGGAAATATAAATGAGTATAAAATCGTGGCTTTTAATCTTTCATTTCAGATGGCCTGTGTGTCATCAGTATTTTAATTTCAGGCTTAGTTACGAAGAGGGACAAAGGTAAAAGTACCCATGAAACGAGCAACGTGTTTGTTGGGAAAGAGGCGTCTCCAACAAACTCTAGCTAAAACATTCGCCATTAAAGTCTAACGTGATAGAAGAGACCGGCGTCTTCTCATCTCGTAACCGCGTATATTTCTCGATTAGAAGGGCTTTCGTGTTTCGGAATGCACGTACGAGTATCGCGGCGCATATCGACAAGCTTGGTGTCGATCGCGTAATGGTATCGAGCAGGAATGCGCGCTCGATATATCGCGCGAGTAATGTACACGCGCGCGTGTAAAACGAGGCTTCATCGTAGATGTATATGCGTAACCGCACGTTAGTGCATCGCAGGCCGTGCGTGCACGTATATATGAGTGTGTGTGTGTGTGTGTGTATTAATGTGTATACACCGTCCATAGTCCCGGCGTGGGACCAAAGCGACTCAAAAAGTCGCACGGCGCGCAGCGGCTCTCAGACGACGCGACGTTAAGCTCGCCTTTAGGCATACACGGTAACTGAATTGAAGACTCATTCAAGACGAAACGCAGAGAGATATTATCTCCTGGCGACAAAGTCGACGAAGACGAGGCGAATAGAATCCACGTGCGATTGCAAAGCTCCGCGATTTCCGCGAGTTCTAATTTTCATTATGTCGCATCGAAAGGTATATACAGAGAGAATTTTCTCGTAGAATTTACCTTGAAAATTATGCTAATCGGAGGACAATATAGTATTGGAAGAATTAAGAGTTCTCTGATTAATTATTTACTACAATAAAAAATATTAATCATTATAATAAAAAAATATCACAATAAGACAAAAAAATACGTTCAATTGCTTTTAACATTTTTTATTATGCTAAATAATAATTAGAGAAATCCTTATAAAATTCTTCCAGTACCATATCCTACAATTACCATGATTTTCAGGGTAAATTCTAAGAGAAAATTTTCTTCGTGCTGTTCAATGATATTGAACATTAATGTTCAATAATTATTGAGAATTTTATATTTTTTTCTTTTTTATCGCGAAACGATTTAATGAAGTATATATTTTTTTAAACAGAATATATGTATGCACACATGTGCGTGGTAATGTGCCTGAAGAGACTAAAATCGACAGTCTTCGGACTGTCATGTTCTCTTCCTGTTATGCGGTCCCAAGAGTTTCAAATGCCTTGTGAAAAACATCCCGCGCTGTGTGCACTTTATTAGAAAACTTGTGTTAAAAGTATCGTTTTTCGTTCAAACTCAAGCCACAGAACGGTCAGGCAAAATAGCGAGTTTCCCCAAAATACTCAATGCATCGCTTAATGACGTTTGCCTTTCGAAAGAATTTGACACGACATTGTAATGGTACCTTTCTGAAATCCTTCACAAATATACCGACAAATATGCATAGAAATCACATTCGGGAATATATATGTATATATAATTTATTGATTCTCTCCCACGAAAAGAAAAATCCGAACATAAATCGCCGTCCCTTTTCGCTCTCGAGATTTCCACATGGACGGTGATTTTCGTAAAAAGGATTTATCTAAAATTCTGCGAACAGTTATTGAGGAAACAGCTTTTAGAGCTGAATGCTTTCCACATATTATATATGTGTGCGGACATATATGTTGCAACACGCAGGGATTTAAAGATTTCGCACCGAACCGAAGAAATATTTCAAACGAGCCATGGAACATATATGACAATAGAATCATTGGTTTGGGATATCCTAAATTTGTTAATGGAGATCTCGAATAGCCTCCAGATTTAATCGCTCTGCAATTTCGTTCTGTGGGGTTGTATTAAAGATAATTGTACCGGAAAACCGCAAACTCTAAGCGACTATAAAATAGCCCTTCGAAGATGTCATCTCACTGAATATTATCCATATTCCATATCTTGTTCTTATCAATAAGGACGCGATTCTGTAAATGTTTATTTTAATTCCCCTCGATCTCGCGCATTAAAATTCCCCGAAAAAAAAAAAAAAAAAAAAAAACGCCGGAAGACGGCATCCTCGGATCGGCGAAAGGTCCGCGCAAGATCTCGTCGCGCAAAAATACAATAAGACTCGCCGTTACACCGGTGCGAAATCCGCTGTACAACGAGAGCAGCTGGTGGCGTCCCTTCGACACGAGGAGAGAAAGGAAGCGGCGTGACGCAGTAGAGAAGTTCGTAGCGAGGTTCTACTATACGCGAGAGGAGACCCTTCCTTTTCGGCGGTTTTCCGCTCTCGTTCCTTGTCGAGGCGCGATACGAGTGAAAGAAGAAGAAAGAAGGAGGGGGCCAGGAGAGCCCGAAAAATGGGGACCACGTCGCGGGCACGTGTCTCGACCAGGACATCTGCCGTTGAAAAGGACCCACTGTTACGTCCCCATTATATCGTTTACCTTAGTAGCGAGCCACCTCTCTTTCTCGCCCTTCTTCTTCTTCTTCTTCTTCCTCCCCCTCCTTCTCCTTCTTCTCTTCCCCCCATTTTTTTTTCCACACTGCTCGCTTGCCCTTCGTCTCCTTGTGTCTAGGAACAAGCAGCTGCCCTTTTCCCTATAAAGCGGACCTACGCACCTGCCCTTCGAGGAGGATGACTGTTAACCGGTCTCGGGGTGATCATCATGTGACGTATTGCCGACCGACGAGAGTAAAAAATGGGGTAACTTCGCTACCGAGATGATGCAACCGAAAGAAATGCAAAATTTGCGATTGAGATTTTCAACCCCTAGATCCCTATAGTGCTTGATAATGTAATTTTTCATATATAGTATATATTCTTGAAAAAATTCAAGAGAGAATCAAAAATTGAGAAATGTGCGCGTGAAAAAGTGTGTCAAATCCATCTGAGATCACATCTATAATTTCGAGACAGAATTCTATTTATAATTTTATACGTCACATATGTTAACACAGAAAATCGAAGTAAAATACACATAAAATACATATCGAGATATACATTACGCGGCATAATGCTTGCCACATGTATAAAGTATGCGGTACATAAAATCATAAATAGATTCCCGGTCTTGAATTTTGTCGCGAATTTATAGATCGTCCAAAGCCGGCTTTAAACATGTCCGCGTCACCGTAATTATTTTGCTGCGGTAATCCTTCGCAAAATAAATAGCAATTACGGCAAATCATCGTTTCGATCTGTCACTGTTGCATAACGACGACCCGGAAATTGCAAGACTCGGTATAGTAATACGTGCGGTCAAACGCGACACTCTCGTAAGTGACAAAATGTAACATCGCGAGGCGCTTCTATTCCGAGACGACGGACGTCGACCCGCAGACGACTCCCAGACTATACGGTAATAATCAGGATGAGGTGCTGGCGAAAGCCTTTCGCAGAAACGGGCCGAATGAGGGAGAATTTCGAGCCACATCCATCGTCAACATGTCGCGTCGCGCGCGAATATAAATCGCGAAGATTCAGCTATTCATCACTTCGGACAATATATCTCTCAATAAAATGCATAGATTAAATTTGTCTCCGTCATAGGCGCGTGATAATATTTCGCGTTCAAGTATACTCCTACATATATTTATATCAAACAGATACGATAATATTTTTGGAATCACATATAATGAGGCGATGCACTTTTTGATTAAAATTTAAATTGATATATGTATATGCAAATTGTAATTAGAAAATTTAACTCTATGCAACTGTATTGAGTTATAAAAAATTAATATTAAAATAATTACACGATATTACACAACCATGCGCACATATTTAATTAGCCATTGTTTCTCATTTAATAATAAATTTTGATTAATTAATTTTAACTCTCCTTTAATTAGTAAAGTAATATTATTTTTGATATATAATTAGAATGGGATAGAATCATCACGTGTTCCATCCTTTCATTTATAGTTATACATATATATGTAAATGATTAAAAAAACTATATATAACTGAAAATTTTATTTTTTCATTAAAATTATATTGATATATGTATATATTTTGGTTAGAAAAAAGAGCGCATTAGTTTTATACATATATAAATTGAAATTTAAAAGAATGCAAATATAATGGAACCTAAACATCACAATTATAAGTCCATTTATGACCATTCATTATCCATGTATATTAACGATATCACGATTCGAACTTACTGGGGTCATCAATAGCATCATTCCCCCTCATCCCGGATAAGAATTAAACAAATATTATTTATGATAGCCTACGTGACATATATCATACAATGCTCGTATAATCGTGAAAAGCACTATGAGTTATAAACGTTATGAGTTATAAAACTATTACCAGTAATTTCACCGTATTATTGCTTATTATTATCAGTACAACTTGTAACTAATGGCTATTTAATTTGTACGTATGTTACTAATGATTATCTAATAGCTAGTTATTACAGACTCGTTACATCAGTTTTCGTCAACCTATTTATTATAAATTTATATACGTCTTAGACACAGCAATTTGATTCAGTTAATCTCAAACAAGAAGCGTGAAATTATCTTAGACGCGATCACATTGCTCGAAAATCACGGAAGTTTCCAAAGCGTGATTCATGTGGATCACGCGTGTGGAACGTGTTTTTGTCTAGAAAAATCATTTCGAGATAATTATTCGACGAAAGCAAAATAAGACTTACCGCATCGCCATTCGAAACCGCCAGGGGGCCTCTTTTATACGCATACGTCACGTTGCACGCATAAAACGCGTAATCTGCAAGCAGACGAAAAAAAAGCAACAATTAGAATACAGGAATTAGAATTGGCAAATATGATAATTTCGCACTGCGTACACGGCGGTATCAAGAGCCTGCTACTATACTATGTCGAGGAGCTGAAAAGGGGCGGCATTGTCGTCATTAAGATTCTAACCGAGCTCGTCCGCTTTCGAATGAACGACCCCTCGGCAACGAAACGGCCGCGTGCACACATGCACACACGTATATATATCCATGCACGAAGTAATGCGCGCACGCACGAACGGAATACCTTGTAGGTACGAAAGGAAGCGAACTTCCTTCCTACGTCCGATGTCACGCGCACCATCGTTTATATAATCCATCCTGTGACGTCATGCTGTGTTTAATCCATTCATTACTGAACCGGCTCTCTGTCTCCGTCAGAGTCCGTCTCTTCTTTCCCACTCCGGTGCAATAAGCAGCGTTGCACACGCAGAAACGGACATTAACGAGCAGAAAAACGTTGTATGGATATACCATACTCTGGTCTCTCTTTAGAATGATGAAAAAACGATTTAAGAATTATGTGAGAGCTATTTAGCTTGAAAATGATATATATATATATAATTTTGAGCTATCTATTCATGAGCGCGTTTGCTATAATTCTTAGGATAGAAGAGACACTCCAAACACCTATTTATATTCTGTTACTATAGTTTACTCGTAGAATTAATTACTATATTTTACATAAAATAACTTTATACAAAAAATTTCATGTATGCAGACATACAGGATATTTCAGAAATTGGCTAAACTTTAAGAACATTTTTTATATACTTTTATAATAATTGTTTAATATACTTTTCATAACTGTTTTTATCGTGTGAACAATGTTACAGTGAGAATATGATCTTCGAGTTTGGCTGCCTGTATCATTTCTAAAACATCCTGTATATTAAATTTTTTTGATATACTGTGTGATATCAAATTAACGCAAAACAAGTCGTTCCGGTAGATAAATTCACAAAAAAGTGAAATTTTTCGCTTCGGTAGATAAACATGAACGATAATGATTCTGATGCGAGCAGAAATCGATCTGCGGCAAGATCTTTTTCTGTACACTTTTGTTATTCGAAAAGAGGCCAGAACCTTTGGGATCTTGAATCTTTGATTTTAACGGCAATAAATATTTATGCTTTCGAGTGAAAAATATTTCAGATTTTACAACCTTTAAAAAATTGAGATTTCTTTTGGAGATCTTTCATTTTTATTTCCCCTTTATATTATTAAATTATAATTTATAAAATTGATTAAATTATTTGATGTATAACTAACTAATATAAATGCAAACTGCTAACTAATATAAATGCAATTTTGCATACTGACATGCAACTTTGAGTGCATGTTTTACTTTGCATATGCGTGTTATCAATTGATAAATCTATTATTATAACATAATTAACATTTTTAGATTTTAAGACTCATATATTCTTATAAAATAACACTTCTAAAAAATTATAAAGAAAAAAACGCGCATATTAAATAATGGAATTTTACAAAAAAGAATTACAGAAGAAATAATAACAACTTTTTGAAACCCGTTACATATTTATGTGTATACGGAATATAAGTGCAACAATGTAATAGACTCGGACAGGATGTTACGATACGAGAAGAGAGTTCAAAAGAAACGTTTCGTAAGAGAGACACAGTTCTATTTTCAGTATCGCTGCACTTGCTAGAGTATGCGTGAGGAATATATATCTGCAAGCCCGCAATGAAATAACATATTCCGTGTCTTCGCTCTAGCATTACAACCTTCACTTACAAGCGTTATTAGCTCCTATATGCGTTGCGCAGTCATGGCACGAACGCAGCATTAAGCCGCGTTCATTCTACCCACAATGATCCTTATATTATTCATCACTTATCACTGTAAAAAATAATATATTTAACAATAACAGCGTATGTCAAAAATATTTCTTGTATAATTCCTTGTAATCGAAAGTACTTGACAATTTTTAGTATTCAAGTTTCGAACTCGCGGTAGATAAGTTTGTCGATTTATGGCCAATTCTGATTGTCACATGGTGAATGCGTATTATGTAAATCGTATTTTAATATATTATTTTATCAGGGATCGCGGCAGTGTGTACGCAGCTTGCGACGGTGATGGCGACAACGTGTGTGGCGGCATAGCCAGTGGGCGGATACCGGCATGGCAAACGATTCCGATAGAAGGTACCGCGGTGTACGTACTCGCCCGATCGGCGTGCACGCAACGGAATTTCACCTTACATTGAAAGGATAATTGAAGCGATCGGGAAACGTAACCGGAAAAGAAAATGCGCGTCAATAACCCGACCAAGTGCGGCTTCGCGAGGAAACCACATGCAGATTTTGCGATTATTTCCTGCGCTAATGAGTTTAGTCTCTCGTTGTCAGCTTTTAATTAAATGACGAGCGTTCGGCTGCTCGAATCAAATGGAAATATTATTAAAGAAAACAAAATTATGATTGCTTCCTTTCTCGATATTTCCATTTTCCCTCTGTCAATACGTCAAAATTCTTGTTCCGCCATTCAACCGAGGAAAAATTGTCCTTATACACTGAACAAAAATTGTCAACTTGATTAAACCTTTCAACTAAATATTATTTTGTTAATTAAACAAAAAAATATTTAAATTAAATATAATATATAAAAACTAACAAAACGTAGTTGAAAGGTTTATAGTCAAATTAATAAATCTTTTTTTTTTATGTACATGCGTTTGTATTTTCTCTCAAAAAATGGTAGAGAAAAATGATTCTACATCTTCGTTGATAATATATAAATTTGTATGGCAAAATGAAGAATGATCGTAAATAATCTATTATTTCTTTTAAACGTTCTTAATTTAGCCTCATTACGTGTACGCTATAATTACGTATATATTTAGGGTGCCAAAGTGCAGGCGCACTCATGCAAACGATAATTAAGCGATATCGAGAGATGCAAACTCTCCCTCCCTTTCGTCGTGCGTCACGCATCGAATAACACAGTTCGCAGTTCGGGATTAATCAGCCGTCGTGACCTTCGTGCGATCGAAAAAGTCCGCTTGCGGGGATACGAAATCGCCGCGTTGCGTCGGGCGACACATCCGGCCCCGATTGTCGACGACGCAGTGGCGCACGTGAATGAAGCTCGGCCTGGTGAACGCGAATGGGGAACACGCGCTGGATGCATGCGTTTAAAGAGACCCCGGCGTTAACACGAAGCGACACAATCGTGCGTGCGCAAGCGATAAGCGCCGCGATGTTCCTCGAGGCGCGATAAGACGCTGTTGAAAAAATGTTGACCGTATGTTCTCGTAAGCGGATCTCTCGAAAGCGAATTTTCTCGTGTGCCGACGACGTGTTGCCGGTTAGTAATTTCCGTAGTAGACTTTATATCGCAATTGTATGTTCCGAAATTCATTCATAAATCAAACTCTTTCAAAAGCCTTTATTCACACAGAGTGCAATCTTTTATTCAAGAGAGAGAGAGACAGTATATATGTATATTTTAAGAGATATATATATATATATTACAACTTCCTTCTTTTGTTTTATATCTCGAAAAATGAGAAAAGTAAGAGAAACAATTCTCTGCAATAAAACATTAATAATAAATCAATCGTAACTGCATATTGAAGCAATAAGAGGAGAAAATGGAAATGACTGCGGGAAATCGACAACCGACGAATCCATCGTACATTCTATTTACGTTGAAACGGTAAATTAATCTTATATATTGCCGTGAAATAACTGTCGGAATTTAATTTCGATTTCGCGTTTATGTGTCAATGAAGGATTTTGCGGCGCACACTATCCGATGCAATATTAGCACCGATAATTATAATTAAAGTAGTAGCAAATATAATTATACATAATTACGCTCTCCTCTTTGTAATGGACAACATATTTGCCACGTGGTCTCGCGTATGACGTAATATTATATAGTGCTCCCCGGCGGTTGATAAGAATTCTGACGCCTCCATTCAGAGACGAGAAACGGGAGAAGAAGAATGAAACCTTCGGAGGCAAACGGAGGTGACGAGTAGGCAATCGGACTGATACGGGGAAGATGAGATTACAAAATCGAGAGCTGCGAACGCGATTCTTCTGCCCGAGAAATCTCGTACTCTCTGGCCCGTACTCTCAGATAAGCGAATTTTTTTCTCTTATTTATACGTATGGAAATGCTATCGTGATCGTATCGAGAGCGCGTACGAGTCACAGTTTAACGAGTCGATTTTAATTTTGAACGGACGGATGTTTAATTTTTTGCGTACACAAGCACGGAAGTACAAGTATATATGTGTACTATACATGTATATATATATGTTATCCTCTTGTATGTGTGAAATATTTTTCATATCCGTAAGGAGCGTTTAATGATTATATCTTTATTTGGTTATTTGTCGGCTATCTTTTCATGACTTCTTTACTAAGGTATTACGATCCGATAAAACTTTAAAATAGTGTTCAAGAAAAGGATTCTTGAGGATATTAAGGAAAACTTATAAATTATTTATTTTCGGCAAACATATATGGTATATAAGAAAAAACCCATTAAATTTATACAAGATCTAGAGATCAAACACTTTATTAATCTTTCATCAAAATCTAATTAAAATAATATTGATTAAGCATATTTATTCAGCAAGTATTACGTGTTTATTAAGGGATATAAGGATTCTGAATCTTTTCTTTTTTTGACCGTTCAATATAATTGTCTGATTTTTCTTAATACTCTTTTAATTTAAACGACAGATAACTTATCAGCTTGCAAAAGCAACAGGCTCGTCAATTCTAAGAACTTGTTTAATCGTGCCTTTGTAGGCAATGAAATAAACACCCACGTTCGCATCCCACGTTACGCAATATTGTCTCTCGACGCGCGCGCGCAAATTTGCGACAAATTCCGTATATTCAATTTACATTGAAGTAAGATACATACGTGTATATGTACATACACGTTACAAGTGTATTTACGCAACAAGCCGCGTATGTG